CAGTTGAACGCACATCTTCAATTATCACATCCAATGGCACCTTTGTTGCTATTTTGACTGCTAATTCACTCCGTTCACCCTCTTTTAAAGTTAAATGGCCGATTCCCAATTTATGGCCTACATAAGTGGAACAAAACGAGACGTGCACACTTCCATCCTTTTGAAAAAAACCTTAAGATGGGCTGGGCATTATCCATTAATTTTGCACGAGCCTTTTACTTTTATTTGTCTCTTTCTTTCCACGTAACTTACTCTAGGAGAAAAATGTCCAGATCTGTGGCAAACAAATTTTGTCGAAAGTTGTTTAGACGAGTTTTTTTTTCAAATAAACGAACATACTTGTTAATCTTCGATTGAACTCTTCCAATCATAAAACTCAGCTTTGGAAGGAAATTAACTGCTATACCATGGTTATTATTAAGATCTTCTTTATAACTTTCAAAACACTTAAAGTTATCTTTGCAGATTGGAAACTGTAAGCAAATGTGGTTTAATCCCTCATTTTGATTGTGCACATTTCTCATGAGCCTTTTCAGATTTGAACAAGTAGTAAAATGCTTATCACAAAGGTAACACACTTGGCTTGGTCTACAGTGTGACATTTCGGTAAAACTAAATTACCATAAATTTTGTATTCACTGGCATGACTCATGAGCATAACAGCACCAATTAGAATAAACTTAACAAAGCTGTTCGTGGTATAAGACATGAGGCGAGCATAACGTCAACAATAACAAAAACAACAAATTAACAATCAACTTAAGAGGTTAACTTCACAATGAACAACAAAGACTGAAAATAAAAACAATTCCAGCTTCTGTTCTGCAGTCTGCTTCGGACTTGTTCGGACTCACACGTGTCACGTACACACTCTAGCGGCAGTCGCCCGAATGAAACAACAGGGACGTCATCAATGACGTAGATGCGCATGCACAGACAGCGGATCGGGGCGCTACACAAGGTTTAGTCTGTTTTTTTCGTTTCGTCTGCCTAGAAACGGGACAGCGGAATTGAAATCGGAACGGAACATCGGACCGCAGGTTTCTGTCATCACAGAGCCTAATAAACACTCGTAAGAACAAAGTAGCCGTCTATTGTTAAAAAGGTCAATAAATATGAGAAATGAAAATAATTTCTGGAATAATTATTGCAAATTACAAAAACTTATATGAGTCTAAATAAAGATTAATTAAATAAAAATCGTAACTATTTTTACTTGTTGTTTACATTGTTTAAATAACAAAAGTATAAAAAAAAGTTAAATTTCATGTCGTTCTAAATTATAGCCTACAGGTTTTTTATACCACACGTCTATTTAGAGCCGTGAACATTTTTAAACTAGTAACATTGAACATACCTCATATTACAAATTCCTGAATGTCTTTATATTGTCTTCTTTAGGTTTTTACACACATACATATATATATATATATACACGCAAATAATACTACATTAATTTACATATATTTACATTCATATTCATATACTTAGATCTATTTACAAGTTAACTTCTTCTTGGAAACTGGAACAACAAAATCAACATAAAAAGTAGGCTCTTTCAAATTAGAAATATCCTATTGTGAATTTTCTATAGGCCTATTTGTTTATTTTGTTTGTTTGTCAGTGTCACAAGTCACTTAGCATGGGTCGACGTTTATGTTTGTAGTTACCAGTATCTCTATGAAAATATCGGTTTATGTTTGTAGGTACCAGTATCTCTGTGAAAATATCTGGGGTGTCTGTGTGTGTTCAAGCTCAAAAACTTTTATTTCAGTAAAAGATTTCACTAGAACTTAAATTTTGAAGTGCAAGAACTTTAAATTATAAAATGAAAATATGTCAGCTGTTGCTATTTCATTCAATTATTAACTGACAATGAAATGTATAATTAAATTTTAAAGTTCAAAAAGGCCAATATATAATAAACTGTTTTAATCACAAGTGCTTTCGGGAACCAGGGTGGCCACAGAACCCCTTGGGAAAAATCACGCATATTTCCCCGTTTTCCCTACTGAAAATCCTGTTTTTCCCGGTCGTGATTTCTGGCCCCCAAGAATATATTTACCATATTTGTGACCTTATTCCCAATAATGCGATCTTTACAATGTATTTGAAACTATTTAAAACATAATTAATTTGTCTACTAAATAAAATAGATAATGAATAAATATTTATAATAACCAAGTCTTACGTATCAATGATTGTAGAATAATAGTAACAGTAAGCGGAAGCAGTCTGGTGCGCGGTGCCGTCTCTACTAGCCGTCCTGTGTACATGCATTGACTTAAGGAAATAAAAGCAGACAAGCCAGCGGTCGTTGTGCCGTGAGTTCGTTCTTGATGCGGATATCAGGCAGCGCCACTGTCGATGATGCGAAAGACCTTCTTTACCGACGCGAGTACGACGAACAGTGTTCTACTACTAAATTACTTACGTTTTTAGAATGAAATCTATTTTATTTTCTTCATGAAAAGTTTATGTAGATTTTAAAATATACATATTTATAATCTGCAAACGTTACAAACACGACAGTCTATAAATCATAAAAAATTTATTCTAGTGAATTCATGAAAACATAGACGTAAATGACGCTGCAAGCGTATAATTAGATTATATATTAAGGATAGAACAAAATTATTTTTGAATTAAAATGTAGATAAAAGATACTTTAATACCCTAAAACAAAAAATATTTTCTATTAACTGGGATAAAATGTCTAATTCCACTTATAGCGTGCAGTCCTAGCAATGTAAAATTACGGTTTTAATCATTAAAATTTGCAATTGTGACTGTTGTTGTGTTGGTAATTAGGCCTAAAGCTTTGTTTGATAATTCAACACGGTACATTTTGTTTAACTCATGATTTTGTATTTATTTTCTCAATAAACACATGAGTAGGCTACCCAGCTCTTGCGGGGACCAATCAGAGAGCAGCATTTCATCCCCACCCCTCCCCCTAGGCCACGCCCCCTTTTGTCCCACGTGGTCGCCCCCTGGTGTCCCACGTGGTCTAACCTCACTTATGTTTTCGCGCCAAACATCCCACGTGGTCGCCCTCTGGTGTCCCACGTGGTCTAACCTCACTTATGTTTTCGCGCCAAACATCCCACGTGGTCGCCCTCTGGTGTCCCACGTGGTCTAACCTCACTTTTGTTTTCGCGCCAAACATCTTACCTCACTTTACGCCAAACGAAAAAAACTTCACCTTCCCGCCAAGTAACATAACCTCACTTACGCGCCAAACGAAAAAAACTTCACCTTCCCGCCAAGTAACATAACCTCACATTTATTTTCGCGCCAAACGAAAAAAATCACCTTCCCGCCAAGTAACATAACCTCACTTTTATTTTCGCGCCAAACGAAAAAATCACCTTCCCGCCAAGTGACTTTCGCGCTAAACGAAAAAACCTTACTTCTTCTCCGCCGATTCCCCCCAAACAACGTAACCTCACCTTCCCACCAAGCTTCACTTTACGTATTGCGTAGGTTCTCACCAGCTTATGTAACCTCCGTAATGATCAACTCTTGCCAAATGAAATAGCCTCCACTGAGTTATATGTCCTGAATAATTACACAGATTGTTTGATTTAAAATATGTTTTAATGCCGCTACATCTACGGTTTATATTTACATACGTTTAAACATATTTACAAATACTACAAATCTTCTTCTTCTTCTTCTTCTTCATCATCACGGTTCTGTAACAAAACAAGGAAGTATTAAAGGTGTGTATTCTGGTTGCTGATTGGTTGTAATAAGCTTGTACCTGATTGGTCATAAATAGGTGATCTGTTATGTGATTGGCCAATTTGAGCTATTTAAACTTTTCAGTACTTATTTTCTTTCACTTTGCTCTTGGCAATTGAACGTGTTGGACGTGTGCTCTTGTGTTTGATGTTTTGAGGTTATGTTTGCAAGTTATTTCTAGTGTTAAATGTTAGTCTGATTATTTATGGTACATCAGTGGTAAGTGAACTTTGTTTCTTTAGTGTAACGTATTGCGCAATCGGTGTGCTATATTTAGCTTTGTGTGCGCGCAGCTTTGTCCCCACCACATCTTGTGTCTCTGTGTTGTAGTGTGCAATCGGTGTGCTATATTTAGCTGTGTGCGCGCGCAGACTGTGCCCCCTCTAGATCTTGTGTCTCCGCGTCCCTTTTACTTTGCTCTAGGCGTTTGACGACGATGGATGTTAGTATGGCTGATAACGTATCCGATGAAGTAGTTGAACCCGTAAAAGTAGTTGAGCCTGTTAATTTGATTAGTACTGATCAAACTTATGTAAATAAATTTAGATTGTATGGGAGTAAAACTGTATTTAAATTCACCAATCCACCTCCAGAGACTAATGAGATTGATTGGTTGAGACAGGGGTTTGCACAAATTGTAAATAGTATGAAAGAACAAGCTTTTGAAAATGATCAACTTGGGTTTACTTTGGAGAGTCTCAACTTGAAATCAAAAGCACCAGGCTATGTAAATTTTCGTCCGGCTACTGAAATTGATGAAAACGTTTTGTGGCAAATCTTTGGCGGTATTGTGCAATCAAACTCTGAATCCATCAAATCTACCGACACCTTTAAAGTGGAATGCACTAGAATTAACCTTCCTGTAGGTTCTGGAAGGGTAAGACCAGGGTTTTACAATACGTTTGATGAGGAATGCAAGGCAAGACGGGGAATTGTTGTCATTAATAATAAAGATAAATTGTGTCTTCCCCGTGCAATTGTAGTGGCTATGGCCAATGTAACCAAAGACCCCCTTTACAACGCAGTAAGGAAAGATGATGGAAAAAGACAGACTGTTAGGGCTCAAGAACTTGTGTGCCGAGCTAGGGTTGAAATGCCAGAAGGTGGAGCTGGCATCCCAGAACTTGAAAAATTTCAGGGGTTTTTGAGGGACTACAAAATTGTTGTGTATAACTATGACAGGAAAGGACGTGATGTCTACTTTGAGGGAAATGTAGAGAACCCAAAGTTCAAAATTAACTTGTTGTTTCACAATGGACACCATCGGCATCGTTCCTAAAAACGGGTATAGGCTTACAGACGCTCAATCGGCAATCGCGTTACAGTGGCTATTATGGGAAGAGGAGAAACGTGGAGTTAGAATTGAACACGCTGGTCGTGGAAAAGAAGTTAAGATCAATAAACTGAAAGTAGATGGGTTTGACGGTCAGAATATTTACGAATTTCAAGGCTGCTACTGGCACGGATGTCCTAAATGCTTTCCCTACGACCGGGAACTTGCTTTGAAAGAGGACCCCTCTGACTCACTCCATTTGCGATATGAACGGACTAAATCTAAAATAGCAAAGTTGGGTGATAACGTTGTACAAATGTGGGAATGTGAATTTAGAAAGTTAAAAAAGACAGAAAACCTAAAACATCTAGACAAGTTGCCGATACTCAACAATTTACCTCTGAATCCGAGGCAAGCTTTTTTTGGGGGCCGAACCGGGAATGCCAAAACCTATCACAAATGCGCCGAAGGGGAAACCATTGAATACGTGGATGTATGCTCTCTCTATCCCTGGGTATGTAAATATGGCAAGTACCCTGTAGGCCATCCAACGATCTATGTAGGAGACAAAGAGTGTAGACAGAGAGGTCTCAATGTTGAGGGTCTATTAAAGTGTAAAGTACTTCCACCTCGTGAGCTCTATCACCCCGTTCTCCCAGCCAAAATGAATGACAAGTTAATGTTTGTTTTGTGCGCGACTTGTGGAGATGGTCAGATTCAAAGTGATTGCGACCACGAAAGTGGTGACAGAGCACTTATTGGGACCTGGACCATGGACGAAGTTCGTAAAGCTGTAGAAAAGGGTTATGTTGTGCTTGACATGTATGAACTTTGGGAGTATAAGGTAGCCACATATGAAAATGGGGGATTGTTTACTGATTTTATAAATAAATTTTTAAAAATGAAACAGGAAGCATCTGGGTACCCAGGTTGGTGTGAAACAGACGAGGACAAAAACAAGTACATTGACGACTATTTTAAGAAAGAGGGTGTCCAACTAGAAAAAGACAAAATTGTAAAAAATGGTGGCTTAAGGTCGTTAGCTAAGCTTATGTTGAACTCGTTTTGGGGAAAATTTGGACAGCGTGAAAATCAGACCAAAGCTACGATTGTCAGGGACCCAAAAACACTTTTCAAAATGTTAACCAGTCCTGAAATTGATGTAAATAGAGTACAGATTGTCAATGATGAGGTTCTTGTTGTTAGCTGGGAGTATATTGAGGAGGTTGGGGAGCCATTGCAAAATGTAAATGTTGTGTTGGCAGCTTACACTACTGCCCAAGCGAGATTGAAGCTCTATGAGCATCTAGATGCTTTAGGTGGTCAAGTGTTGTATTATGATACTGATTCTGTATTGTATGTATACAAGGGTGGTTTGTACAGAGTTCCCACGGGAGATTATCTAGGGGAAATGACCGATGAGTTGGCCGAGTATGGACCAGGTTCATACATAACAGAGTTTGTATCTGGAGGGCCAAAAACCTATGCATACCTGGTGTGGTCAACAAACAAACAAAAATTGATTCCCGTTTGTAAAGTAAAAGGGCTTACATTAAATATGAAAACTTCTAAAAAGATTGGATTTGACAGTTTGAAAGAGATGGTCCTGGGTGATGCTGCACAAACAATGGACATTGAGGAAAATGGAATCAGACGAACAAAGGATAGGAATATAGTTACAATCAGTGAGGTCAAACAGTTTAAAATTACTGGACCAAAAAGGAAATATGGTAGCAATTATGATACACTCCCATATGGGTTTAAAATTCAAAAAAACTCACCAAAATCTCAACTCCTGAATCACTACTATCACTGTCACTCAACTCCCCTCAGTCCCCAATATCCACCTCGTTCCACCCGTTCCACCCTCCTGGTCCCCAATTGACCCCAAATTCCGAGTCTGTGTCTGAATCGTTGTCTTCTTCAATCAAATTAAAAAATTCACATACTCTGCGATATAAATAATGTTGAACAAAATCATGAACGATCAGCATCAGAGAGATCATGTTGGACACTAAACACATGTTGCACATGCTGCACATGTGTTGCGCTCCCCTCTCCACTATCACTACATACCTTTATGGTGGCATATTCTGTGTTTCTCGGTGGTAACGGTGGTGGCCTGAGATCCAAGGGTCGAAGTTTTTCGTAGATTGGCTCCACCGGTCTAAGAAATACCACCCTGGTCTTGACGATAAACGGCGACGGCTCGTCGCGCTTGATGGAGAATATCCAGCCGAAACACGATGCGAAACACATGGTGGCTGAGATCCAACTGGAGTGGGGCTATTTTTGAATGTGTTTGTACATTGAGGCGTTCAAATCTGGAAGGACTTGAGCTACTCCTTGTGCATGTGTGAATGATGGTCACTGGCGCGGCTGACTAAAAAGCCCGTAAACCATGTGTGAAGGTCACTGGCACGGCTGACTAAAAAGCCTGTAAACCATGTATGAAGGTCACTGGCGCGGCCGAAAGGCCCGTAAACCATGTGTGGAGGGGTGAGTGTCATTCCACTTGGAACCTTCTCGCCACTATGTTGTCCCTACTTGAGCTCACAGCTAGAACAATTACTGATAACATGTTTCTTTTAAGTGCTGTAAAGCAAGCAGCAATCCCACCTGTGATTAAAGATTATATATTCAATTACCACCATGAAAACTGTGGCTATGTCTACTACCATATTTGTTTTCTCGACAATGAAGAGTTTTGTAAGGATTGTGGAGAGGCAGCGAATATTTATTTTCGACGGTTTGGAACAGTTGTATGTGTAGCAAAATTTAAGACTCCAAGAGATAGATGCACCATCTGTGCAGCACGTCTATACAATTGGACCAGATTGAGAAGATGTTCCTGTCTACAATCTTTGATCCCATCCTTGAGAAGGTGGTGAGAGAAATTTTGGGGAACGGAGACGGCAACTAGTTTGTTTTTGGAGGCCGTCACGAGCTGCGGCGGTGGAGGGGCCGCAGCTTTTCTGGGGGGCAAATAAAAAGACTATTCTATTTGGAACCTTCTTGCCATCATGTTGTCCTTGTCTGAGCTTTCAATTAGGGAAATTTGCACAAATGTTATCCTTTTCCCTTATGTAAAAGAAAGTGTTGATCTTCCATCAACGCTAAGGCAGGACATTTTGAACTGTCATAGAGAAAACTGTGGTTATGTAACCCTAAACTACTACGAGTCTTTTAGAGGCTCTAGTAGGTTATGTATTGACTGTGGAAGAATGGTTGATCTTCCTTCTCGCTTAAAGCGAAGAGGTAACTACATGTATCCAAAATTTAAACTCCCCAAAGAAACATGCCGCATTTGCATGACTCCGTTATTTATCTTCCATAAAGTCACTTGTAAATATTGTAAAAACTAAATGTTTGTAAAACAAAAAAATAAACGGAGGTGGCAACTAGTTTGTTTTTGGAGGCCATCACGAGCTGCGGCGGTGGAGGGGCCCCAGCATTTCTAAAAACTTAATAAATTATCAATACACTGTCAAGTTGTATCATTTTAACAATGGATGTCAGACGTGCTATAGCTGAAGAGCTACACAAACCTGCTAGAAAAAATTACACTAGACGGAAAGTGACTCTTAAAGGGTTGAATGATTTGTACCAGGCCGATCTCGTAGAGATGCAGCCTTATGCAAAGCTAAATAAAGGTAATCGGTACATCATGACTATGATCAATTGTTTTTCAAAACTCGGGTTTGCAGTCCCGTTAAAAGATAAGACAGGTCCGGCAGTTGCTAAGGCACTTGAACCTATTTTGATAAAACATAAGATGAAACACTTTCAAACCGATCAAGGAACCGAATGGTTTAATAAACATATTGGTGCTCTCATGAAAAAGTATAAAATTAACCATTATTCTACGTTTTCTGATTTAAAAGCTAGTATCGTGGAAAGATATAACAGAACTTTGAAACAGTGGATGTGGAAAGAGTTTACCGCAAAGGGTACATATGAATGGTTGTCATTACTTCCTGATATTCTCAAACGATATAATAACTCGGTACATAAAACAATTGGTATGAAACCAAAAGATGTGAAACAAAAGAATGTAAAGGAAATATTAAAAAGGATAAACAAGAAGGGAAAAAGGGTGGCACCAAAATTTAAACTGGGGGATAGTGTTAGGATTAGCAAGTATAAAAGAATTTTTACTAAAGGCTATCTGCCAAACTGGACAAACGAGGTTTTCACCATTTACGCCATCAAACCGACAAAACCACCTACATATGTACTCAAAGACCATAATGGTGAAATACTAAAGGGAGGGTTTTATGAACAGGAGCTAAATAAATCAAAGACCGGAGATGTATATTTAGTTGAAAGAGTGTTACAGCGGAAAGGAGATAAAATAAAAGTCAGATGGCTTGGCTTTGACAAGAAAAGCGACACGTGGCTTAGTAAAAGCGACATTCTTATTTAGAGCATCCGGTGACGGTTACGTGTAGATCAAGCAGCTGCATCCGGGCGTATTTATAAACTGACACACCTAAGTGTCTTAAATTTAAAATCAAGTATAACGTGCTGTGAAAGGAGGCAAGAAGGGCATGCTGAAATAAGAAGTCTTATTATTCCAGTAAAAATCCAATATAATGAAATAAACTCTTAAAACTAACAATTGTTCAGTATGATATTGACCTTAGAAAATTAACAAAATTAATATCTTCACTTAACCAAAATAAACATTACAATCATTACTAACCCCCCCCCTTTTATTTTGCCCTCCCCTTTCTTTGATCGATCAAACCTTATATATAAAAATCCCCCTAAAACTTCTTGTCCTCTCCAAAGTCCATACTTTCCTACTTTACAACACGAATATAGGCCTAATCATTAAACTTGAAAATATTGATGTGTAACATGGTGAAGGGTACTCATCACTTCACGGATGCTGTCTTCAATCCTTGGTGGAGCTTCAGTGAGATGATCTGAGCCGGAGACAGTCTACTGGTGAGAAGACGTCCATGGTTTGCAAACTGATAGTCCCCAGATGGTTGTCAGGCCTCCAAGAAGGTGATACTGGTCCAGGCTCCTCCAGACAGAAGATAGGCGATGGTGTACTCTCCGACGATGTTTAACTCTGGGACTTGAACCCTAGGACATGTTCCAAATTCGTACTATGGATCCCTTCTTTAATATCTTTATTTTAGTATAGTTACACATACTTTCACACATCTATCCAGCAAAGTTAATTTTCCCACAAATCGTTTCTAAAGTCTAGTTTCCCCAATAAATTTTAACATAGAATACTAAAATTCTCATTTTGTTCTCATTGACAAACATTTGAAATAACCCCTTTAAATAAAATCATTCGTAAGTACAAAACATAAAATATTTTAACATATTACCTTTTACTGAATTTACATAATAGTAAAATTGACCACAAAGTAATTTTTAATCAGCTGTCTCAAACATGTGTCTAATACATCTTGATTCTTTAACGAATTACTAAATCAGTTTACTGTGACATTTTAATTAAACACAAATAGCCTAAATTAAACATATCCTTCTTCCATATCGAAATAAATAACTGTTTAGACAAATCCTTAATAACTACCCCAAACTAAAACAATATTAAAATCCTGTCGGTTCAACTAGAACATGACTTTGAAACCAACCTAATTTTGCCTTAAAAAATAAAATTTAATCGAAATATTCTCTCTGAACAGTTACTGATAGTTATAAAAATCATTTAGATTGACACAATGCTCTTTAAGTTTAATCCCTTTTAAGATACAAAGCTAAAACAATTTTTTAACACTCGTTGAAACCTGAGCCAAAAACACGTGGTGTTCAATCTTCATATCTATCAAAATTTAAGTAAAAATTATTAATTGGTTTACCCAAAAATGCTTAGCTATATATATTTACATATTGAAGTTGTACTGATTTTTCCTGGAATAACCTTAAACATAAATTGCTTAATTATTTGCATTACATACCTCCAAATCGAGGGAACAAGTTGACTGTCGGCCACAACTACGCAAAATGAGATTGAAACAAAGTGGTTCTCCTCCAAACTATGAATCATCGCTACCCTAAGCCTAGTCTCGAACACTTGCCACCAGACTGCGCGCTTGCAGTTATCAATGCTGGTATCGACTTGAACTAAGAAAACCGGTTTCTTCCAGTTTTCCAGGATTTGTATTAACATTCAATTCTATTACCTTATAACATATGAAAATAAAATATAATTTCTGTCACAATCGTGACAAATCTCCCCTTTCAAACAAAAAATATTGTTTTGCAAATCAAAATAAAACACATTTTTTTGTTCTCGCCATTTTTTTTTTTCGGTGTCATAATCCACACCCTAAGCTCCTTAAACAACACGGTTCGACGACCTCAAATCACAGACATTGAAAAGTAAACAAACCTTCCGCTTGCATTATCTCTTATCAAACATCTGACCCAACTATCAAGGCCGCGTCCTCCGCCGCGCGCTTATTTCAGGTTGCTTACATCTCCTCTCCTTTCATTACTCATCATTTTACTCAATTATTTGATATAATTGTCAAACTTCATTTTCAGTTCATTTAAAATTTCATGTTAGTAGCCTGGATTACATTGCTAACCATACTATCTCATAACATGAATTGATGAATACCAATATACTCATTACTTCCTTCTCATAGGTCTCAAAATTACTTATAAACTAACACATATCTATTTACAATATAATACAAGAAACATTACATTTGTTTAAAACACATCACTGAAAACACAACATTTTTAAATAGGCGCCTATTTTATATACATTGTTATTCAAACATCAACATGGCATAAGAAATGTTATAATGTTAATTACATGCGCTTAATTCTACCTTTTTCTAATAATTTTCCAAATTTACATAATTATAAATACTACACACACATATTGGT